TTTTATGGGCTTCCAGCCCAGGCCCGGCCGCTCGGGACTCGCCAGTTGGCTCCCGCAGAGCAGGGCGGAGTGAGGCCGCCGGCACCCGCCCGGCGGGAGGGCCGAGAAGCGGGCTGGTGAGGGGAGGTGACGGAGGGAGGAGGCGCAGAGCGGCGGCGGATCAGGGACAGCGAGCGGGAGACGCGGGCGACGCGAGCGGCCTCCCCGGCCGGCAGCACCCGCCGACCCGCGGACGAACTCATCTATGCTCGCCCCCGCGGCCCCTCGGGCCGTCGCTCCAGACAGGTGCACCCCGGGGGGTGGGGAGAGGTGGTCCCTCCTCCCCGCCGCCCGGGGACGCCACAGCTGGCGGCGCTGTCGCGCGCGCCCCCTGCCTCGGCCTCCCCGTTGGCCAGCGAGGGACCCAGGATCTTCAGGGCTGGCCGGGTGGGCGAGGCCGCAGCCCCGGGGGGGCCGGCCTTGCGAGTGACGCCTGGCCGTGGACACTGGCGCGGGGTCCGGAGCCAGAGAGGAAGGAAGAAAGAGTGAGGACTTTTGTGGAGCTTGAGGGGACGGGGGAAGGCGAGAGAAGAGGGGTGAGGGTGGTGGGTGGAAGGAGCTGGGCCGGGAGCCCCGGCGCGCTTGGCTGGAGGGACAGCAGGAGCAACGCCCGGTGGTTAGACCGCTCAGGAAGTCTTGACTCCTGGCCGCTCCTGGACTCTTTTCTTGCCTTTAGGTGCCTCCTGGACCCTAAACGCAGTTGATCACCCTGGGAGGTAGAAAACGGAGGCCCAGAGAAGTAATGTGCAACTTGCTCTGGAAGCTAACAGGACTAGGAAGCAGCAGAGGCAGGGGTGCAGCCAGCCCCGAGCGGTGTCTGATGGCACAGCCACAGCCCTTCCGCGCTCCGTGACCAACCTGACTCACGTCAGTTACGTGACAGGCACTGGAGCTGAGGGTAAAAGCGAAAATCCAGCCCAGGGGAAGCAGGCGGATCAGTGAGACGGTATTGCGTGGCGCTGGTTGTGGAATTCACTTTATCTTCAGTACATACCCAAGGTGGATTATTGGGACTCTCTCTAGAGCAGATTAGGAGTCCCTTAGGAGGGACAGGGTCTCTGATGGTAAGGAGGTCCTTTTGTCACACCTTTTAAACAAGGCAGACTCCCTGTTTCAATGTCACCCACCCACATATCCAATTAGCATCACTTCTAGAAGGTTCTACCTCCCAAATAGCCGACACATTTATCTCCTTCATCTCATGGCCACTTACCATTTCTCACCCCAAATAGGATAGCATCTTTCTTTTGTGCTCTGTAGCCCAAACTTTATCTTCTCAAGGGTTTTGCTCTTTATGAGATTCCTTTTAGTCTCTCTACCAGATCAAACAAGAAGAAAAATTTATAAGACCAGGTGTGGTGGCTCACACCTGTAATCCCAAGCACTTTGAGAGGCTGAGGCAATGCTTGTGCTGCCTACCTAGAGATATTCCTCTCTCTCTTTTCGTCTGGCAGGCTTGGCTTTTATTTTTCATATTCAGGTCCTTAGTCCACCTGGAATTTATTTTTGTGTGCATGTCAGGTAAGAATCCAACTTTGTTTTTGCCCCGCATGGCGAACTAATTACTCCATTTATTAAACAGGCCATCATTTCCCAACTATTAACTCTATATCGAATTTCAAAATGTGTGTGAAGCTATTCTGAAATCTCTGGTTTGTTCCATTGATTCATTTTTCTATATGTGTCCCAATATTCACTGTTTTAGGTACTACCGCTTTATAGTAGACCTTAATACATGGTTAAAAAAAAAACAAAACAAGCCTCCTCCTTGTTTTTATTTTCAAAATATTTCTCACAATTTTGAGATTGTGGAATTTGGTAACCATTTGTCTAGTTCCCAAAAAGTGCTATTGAACTCTTTTGGTTGGAAGCATTGACTTTAGAGATTAACTGGGGGGAGAGGTGACATATTTATGCTTTTTTCTGATTTATTCTTTTTTTTTTGAGTTGGAGTCTCACTCTGTCGCCCAGACTGGAGTGCAGTGGCCACTCCTGGCCACAGCAGCCTCGACCTGCTGGGCTCCAGCGATCCTTCCGCCTCAGCCTTCTGAGTAGCCAGAACTACAGGCATGCGCTACCACACCCGGCTGATTTTTTGATTTATTGTAGAGATGAGGTCTCGCTGCCCAGGCGGGTCTCGAACCCGCGGGCTCAGGCAATCCACTCACCTCAGCCTCCCAAAGGCGTGGGATTACAGGCTGAGCCACCAAGCCCAGCATCAGATTTATTCTTATGTCCTTCAATAATGTATAATTTTTTCATAAGTACTTTCCCACTTTCCGATAGGTTTAATCCTATGCACCTTACAGTATCTGTTGTCATTATACATATAATTTTGTCCTACCACCTTTTCTTTTCTTTTTTTTTTTGAGTTGAAATCTCACTCTGACGCCCAGACTGGAGTGCAGTGGCTGATCCTGGCCACCGCAGCCTTGCCTGCTGGGTGCCGGCGATCCTTCCGCCTCAGCCTTCCAAGGAGCTGGAACTACAGGCGCGCACTACCACGCTCGGCTAATTTTTGATTTATTGTAGAGATGAGGTTTCGCCAAGTTGCCCAGGCAGGTCTCAAACCCGCGGGCTCAGGCAATCCACTCACTTCAGCCTCCCAAAGGCGCGGGATTACAGGCTGAGCCACCTAATTACAATTGGTTATTGACAGTGTATGGAAACAACACTGACTTTTGTATCTTGCTTTTATATTCAGCAGTTTTCCGGCAGTCTGTAAATTATTTTGGATTATCTATGCATACAATATTGTCTATAAACAACAATAATTTAATCTTTGTTTCCCAATTTATTTAGCTCTTATTTCTTTTTCTTGTTTTATTGCGATGGCTAAGACGCCAGTACAGCATTGAGGAGTAGGCATCACTGATGTTTCTAACTTGAATGCAATGCATCTAAAATTTCACCATTGAGTATTATATGCACATTAGATACTCTTCACTTTTTTTTTTTGAGTTGGAGTCTCACTCTGTCACCTAGGCTGGAGTGCAGTGGCACAATCACAGCTCACCACGGTCTTGACCTTCTGGGCTCATGCGATCTTTCCATCTCAGCCTCCCAAATAGCTAGGACTATAGACATGCACCACCATGCCAGTCTAACTTTTTTATTTTTTGTAGAGACTAGGTCTCTTTGTGTTGCCCAGGCTGGTTTTAAACTTCTGGACTCAATCAATCCTCCTGCCTCAGTCTCCCAGAGTGCTGGGGTTACAGGTGTGAGCCACAGTGCCTGGCTATGTCTTTACTTTTTAATTTTAAAAATATACTTATTGCCGGGCTCGATGGCTCAGCCTGTAATCCCAGCACTTTGGGAGACCAAGGCGAGTGGATTGTCTGAGCCCACGGGTTTGAGACCAACCCGGCAACTTGGCGAGACCTCGTCTCTACAAAAAAAAAAAAAAGACAGAGAGCTGAGCTCCGGAGCCAGAGCGAGCTAAAAAGGAGGCGCAGGGGCCAGAGGTCGGGCACTGCAGGGAGAGCCAGCGGGCCAGCGCCGACCAGCTGTCAGTGGCGACAGGAGTACCCTGGGAACCGGTGGCGGTGTGTGCGTGTGGCCCGTGTGCGGGCGGCGGCGTGGGAGCAGCGCTGAGAGATAGCCTGTTCGGGTGGGTGGCATCATAGACGAGAAGGTGTTCACTAAGGAGCTGGACCAGTGGATCGAGCAGCTGAACGAGTGCAAGCAGCTGTCGGAGTCCCAGGTCAAAAGCCTCTGCGAGAAGGCCAAGGAAATCCTGACAAAAGAATCCAACGTGCAAGAGGTTCGATGTCCAGTCACTGTCTGTGGAGATGTTCATGGGCAATTTCATGATTTCATGGAACTGTTTAGAATTGGTGGTAAATCACCAGATACAAATTACTTGTTTATAGGAGACTATGTTGACAGAGGATGTTATTCAGTTGAAACAGTTACACTGCTTGTAGCTCTTAAGGTTTGTTACCATGAACGCATTACTATTCTTCGAGGAAATCATGAGAGCAGACAGATCACACTATGATGAGTGTTTAAGAAAATATGGAAATGCAAGTGTTTGGAAATATTTTACAGATCTTTTTGACTATCTTCCTCTCACTGCCTTGGTGGATGGGCAGATCTTCTGTCTACATGGTGGCCTATCCGCATCCATAGATACACTGGATCACATCAGAACACTTGGTCGCCTACAAGAAGTTCCCCATGAGGGTCCCATGTGTGACTTGCTGTGGTCAGATCGAGATGACCGTGGTGGTTGGGGTATATCTCCTCGAGGAGCTGGTTATACCTTTGGGCAAGATATTTCTGAGACATTTAATCATGCCAATGGCCTCACATTGGTGTCTAGAGCTCACCAGCTGGTGATGGAGGGGTATAACTGATGCCATGACCGGAATGTAGTCACAATTTTCAGTGCTCCAAACTAGTGTTATCGTTGTGATAACCAAGCTGCAATCAGGGAACTTGATGATACTCTAAAATACTCTTTCTTGCAGTTTGACCCAGCACCTCGTAGAGGCGAGCCACATGTTACTCGTCGTACCCCAGACTACTTCCTGTAATGAAATTTTAAACTTGTACAGTATTGCCATGAACCATATATTGACCTAATGGACATGGGAAGAGCAACAGTAACTCCAAAGTGTCAGAAAATAGTAAAC